TATAAACAATTACATTATAGTTTTTTGAAAAAGATATTATATAACTATGCGATTAGTAGATTGTGATATAGATGTGTATATCAGTTTTTTTCATGACATAAAGATTTAATAAGGTTGTATTTATTCATCAATAGATAAGAGGTAAAGTATTTCAAACAAAAAAACAATGTATGATATGAATAATAAAATAATGTTTACATGAATGCTTGTATGTGAATGTTAAGAGGAGTTCCCCTTTATGATACAAATAAGGGGATGTCGGGGTACTCGTGCGTGTAGATGTTATACTACCTCTCCAGGCAATTGTGATGCTTAAATTGCTAACTATTGTGTTGATGGGAGAATACCGGTTAGTTGCGAGTAGGCACCATTGCACCTCAAACAATTGTGAAATTTATATTATCATAAACGGTTGTGTCAACGAAACAATATCGATCAAAGATGTGTTCGATTTTGATTTGACGGTGTTTCTGGGACAAATGTGAATATTAAGAGTGTGAAATAAAAAAAATGAAAAATTTAACCGTAGAGATAAAGTTACAGTTGTTGCGTATCAAAAGTTTAGATTATTTTCATTAAGTAAATATCATGAATACATACATTAGATTTTTTTATATAATTTTCTAGAATGAAATTTGAAATACCAACATGAATGTTTTTTTTCTTCTCCTTGGGTTACGACAGCTTAGAAATATGATTGCTCGCGGGTTATCATTAGATAACTCGTTCTATTGTTTTAATGTTTTTGAAGATTTTAAACTTTGAATGAGAAACGAATACAAGAACCATTGATGTAACTATTTTTATTTGGCCAATTTAATTATTTCTTTAGTGATTCAATTAATATTTAGATTTTAAATTGTTAGTGATAGAGATCATTTGTATCATAATTATATTAAAACTTAAAAATAAAAAGGCGTATCTTACTTTTAAAAGGATAATAAAAAAAGGTATTAACATGAAATAAAATTCTAGTTATATCTCATAAAAATTATATGAGGATTTTATGATTGAGAGATATAGAAATTACATTCTACATAATCTTTACTTAAATGACGAGTGATATATGAATAGATTGGAATTAAAATAATAGAGCTCATATTATCTTTCTCTTTGTCTACCTAATGCATGATATTTATGTAATTTGAACAGTGCTGAAGAAATAAGGAAAAAATATATATATTAAAAGGATATTTCATCAAATTTTAGTTTTACAACTTTCTAAATTTTGTATTAGCATAAAAAAGCCTTAGTTTAAATTACTTTCTTGAGAATAATGACAAATGTTTATAAGTTATATACATTACATATTAAAGGAGGAAAAAATATTATATCACGACTCCGGATGCATCCAGAGTCCAATGGTGGGGCGCCACGTGTCAAGTGGGCCCAACAAATTTTAACACCGACCAATTTCAGTTTATTACAGTAAGCGTATTTGACACGTGACATCCCACTATTAGACTCCGGACACAAATTACGTCAGGAGTCTTGATGTAATATTCTCTTAAAGAAAGGTATAACACCCATTACATGAAGAGACAGAATGAAGCGAACCATTTGATTTCGGAGAGCTTCTATACTATACTCATAGATTTCGTTTTTTAAGAAATGATGACTAATTAGAATAGGGGCATGAACTCATAATCTCAAACAAAAAATGTAAAAACAAACCATTGCACAAATAGCTTGACAAGTCTAATAAAGCTCATTGTTAGCTCAAGTTCTCAACAAATAATTTGACAAATTTGCAAAAGGAAAAAAAAAAAAGAAGAAAAATAACAGCATAAAAGTTCTGTTAGAACTGCAAAGCTTATTGAACAAAATTTAATTAAATGCATCCAACCTTTTATTATTATTATTATTATTATTATTATTATTATTTTGAGAGAGAAATATACATCCATGAAAAATGAAACCTTCTCAAAACTAAGCAATCCACCTTATTTTCTTCAGTGTACATCAAAGTTCTAACCAAAATCAATTTCTTCAATAGCCCAATTCCTTAATACAAAACATCAATGTACAGAAAACGACTAGTCCTCTTCTATGTGGTGAAAAACCTAACAATTTTCATCTTGCTTAATTTATTGGACTGTGCTATATAATTTAAATCAGGACTCCAAACTGTCTTCCATAACATTAACTTGGTGCTGCTTTCGTGGAGACCTTCTAAGCCTTTAAATGCATGTTAAAATACAAGTGGGAGAAATCTGAAGGAATTTTCGTCTAAAAGAGATTGATTTTGGTTGCTGATTTGGGCAGGATGGAGCACTTGTGTGGCTGCCTGACTATATAGATCTGATCACCTGTGCTATTATATGAATCCTGGTTCCGGTGCCATGTCCAAAGTGCACAAGTCTCATTTTTCACCTGCACGTTATGACATGAAAGAGAAACACATAAATGACCGTTTTTATTAGGATTTAAACATTAATATTCATGGTATATTTCTAAGCATGGTGATTGTACCTCTAAAATTCCATGGCCGAAGCTACTTTCTCTGTAAGCACTGTAATCAGGTTGACGGTCCCAGCAAAACTTGCCCTCGGCCGGTCCGCTCGTGAAGTTGAAGGCGCAGAACCCACCAATATCATCAGGTGTTGTTGCTGGATCAGGGCAGTCGCCAGGGTCATCCGCATGAGCCACCGCCATCTTTTCCCGGTTTCCCCCATCTCCAACCATAATATGAATGGGAGCGCAAGGTTCCAGAGCATAGTTATAAACCCGATTTGATCTCTCGTATGCATGAACCTGGAATTAAAGAGTCAGATAAAAGTTACAATTAGACAATATTTTTTCTTTATTTTGTAGAAACTGTGAATTTTGATCATCATTGTTATTTGTTAAGAATTGTATATAGTTTAGAGTTATATTTGTAAATAAGAAATATAGAATAAGTCTAAGAATTTATTTGTAAGAATATTGTAAGGCTCTATATAAGCCCAAGTCTTTAATGAATGATTGAATTTTTTTGAGCAATTATTTCTATATGGTATCAGAGCCCTACCGCTAGCAGCCAGCCGTTGTTAGTGGTGTTCGATCGTCGGGATCAGCGTCATTAGTGCTGCTCAATCATTGCAGAGACCCGGAACTCCGATTTTCCTTTCCTTCCACTTTGTCATTGCGAAGAAGCAGCGACAAGAGCTTACTGGGAAGGCAATGAGGGGATCGCGGCTCGCCAGGAAGGAAACTACTGGATCGCAGCTTGCTGGGAAGGCAACTAAGGGATCACGGCAGAGAGCCCTTGTGATACAATCTTTGGGAAGGCAACTAAGAAATCGCGGCAGAGAAGGCTCGTGATACAGTCGTTGGGAAGGCAACAATAGGATCCCGACAAAGAACCCTCGAGATACAGTCCCGACAGACGTTGGGAAGGCAATTATGGCAACGAGGGGATCACAGCGTGAACCTCGCAATTCTAACGACACTTTCGGTTGTTAGATCATCATAGAGTTGTTCAAGCGGCTCGGTGCAGGGCAGGGGTGAAATGTGCATGAAATCAGAGAAGTGTAGGAGAGAAGTTTGGTTCTACAAGCGTGAGAGGACGATGAAGGCTGGGGAATAGCAAATTAAGGATGTCAGGCGGTGGAGATAGTGCGGGAGGAAAATGTTTGAAGCTTCTGGGGAAGATAGATCTTAAAGTTCTGAAGGTCTTGGTCGGGCTCATACAAGGAGCAAGTGTATCGCGGAAACTGCTACCTCAGCACATTCTCTTACACGGGTGAACCTAGATCTCTCTCATGTGGATCTGAAACTTGATGAACCAGTCACATATCTAAGTTGGTCAAGTCGGATCGAGGCTTCTTTAGTAGGAAAGATATTACAGAGATATCTGACGGGGTTCAAGCCAAAAAGTGACAGCGTTGAGAGAGATGAGTGGAGTACCACACATGCCTTGCTTCACACCTGGCTGCTTAACTTGATGGTTTCATTGATTGCCTCATTAGTGAATAGCATTCAAAAAGTGGGTAACATCTGGGCAAAGCTGAAGAATATCTATGTTGGAGCTAAGAACCACACGAGGGTGGTCCAGATTCAGCATGTGTGATAGATCGATTCAAGAGTACTCCATGGATCTGGAACGGTTGTAGGTCGATTTTGATCACTTCTCACCGATGTCGAGTTGTGATAATCTAAGATGCATGAAGAGGGAGATCTTTGCATACATGAGAACTATGCAATTTTTGGTTCATTTGAACTCGGCCTTTGATCAAAGGAGATCGGTCCTCCTAGCCCATGCAACTATTCCTTCGCTATATGAGGCCATCATCGCGATGATATATGAGGAAAGTCGCATGAGGCTACACTCTGAGCCGAGTGAACTTCCAGGTAAGCAATCAACTTTGACTGCCTCGAGCCCAAGTATGACAAGTGTCAAGGGGGAGGTCTGCAATTGTTATAACTGTGGAGAAGTGCGACACCTGAACAAAGCTTGTCCAAACCCGCTTGCCCAAGAAGAGAGAGGGGTGCGCGTGAACTGTCTAGAGGTCGTTGTGGTAATCGTGGGGGCCATAGGGGTTGAAGAGAGGGCCACCAGGCAAATATGGTAGCGGAGAATGAGGGAGAAACGGGTGGGCATTACCGATATCATGAGTTCCTGGAAATGTTGAAGAGGAAGCAGAGAGTGGCAGATGATGTGACTGAGGATACATGCACCTTATCGTCATCCAAGAGGAACACTACTACTTATGCTCATTCATCCAAAAGTACTCTTGATATACATGCTCATTCTTCTATATCCATCACAAGATCACTAGAATGTATGGTGGATTTTGATGCATCTCGACATGTGACAAATGCTTCTAGTGAGTTCTCGTCATAAACCAGATTTGATCTCTCGTATACATGAACCTGGTATTAAAGAGTCAGATAAATGTTATAATTAGACTATGTTTTTCTTCATTTTGTAGAAACTGTGGATTTTGATCACCATTGTTATTTGTTGAGAGGTCTTATTTGTAAATAAAAAATATTATTTAAGTTTAGGAATTTATTCGTAAAGAATGTTGTAAGGCTCTATATAAGCCCCAAGTCTTTAATGAATAGTTGAGATTTTTTGAGCAATTTCTATCTGGTATCAGAGCCCTAACCCTAGCAACCAGCCATCGTTGGTGGCGTTCCATTTTCGGGATCAACATCGTTGGTTTTGCTCGATCATTGCAGAGACCCAGAGCTCCGATTTTCCTTTCCTTCTGCTTTGTCATTGTGAAGTAGTCGTGACAAGAGCTCACTGGGAATACAACGAGGGGAACGCTGCTCGCCGGAAAGGGAACTACTGGATCGCGGCTCGCTGGGAAGGCAACTAAGGGATCACGAAAGAGAACCCTTGCAATATAGTCTTTGGGAAGAAAACTAAGGGATCACGACAGAGAAGGCTCGTGATACAGTCGTTGGAAAAGCAACAACGGGATCGCAACAGAGAACCCTCGCGATGCAATCCCGACAGTCGTTGGGAAGGCAACTACGGCAATGAGGGGATCGTGGTGTGAACCCTCACAATTCTCAGACGTGCTCTAGGACTGAAGTGATGATACATTCGGTTGTTGGATCATCATAGAGTTGTTTAAGCGGCTCGGTGCAGGGCAGGGGTGAAGTGTGCATGAAATCAGAGAAGTGGAGGAGAGATCTTTGGTTCTACATGCATGAGAGGACGATAAAGGCTGGGGAATAGCAAATTGAGGATGTCAGGAGATGGAGATAGTGCGGGAGGTACAAGTTTGAAGATTCTGGAGAAGATAGATCCTAAGGTTCTGAAGGTCTTAGTTGGGCTTATACAAAGAGCTAGCGTCTCGATGAGAACCGCTACCTCAACACGTGCTCCTACACAAGCGAAGCAAGATCTCTCTCATGTGGATCTGAAACTTGATGGATCAGACATATATCTGAGTTGGTCATGCGGATCGAGGTTGTTTTAGTGGGAAAGATATTAGAGGGATATCTAACAGGGTTCAAGCCAAAAAGTGACTTGAGAGGGATGAGTGGAGGACCGCACATGCCTTGTTTTACACCTGGCTACTTAACTCGATGGTTTCATCGATTGCCTCGTCAGTGAATAGCATTCGAAAAGTGAACAACACCCGGTTAAAGCTGAAAAATATCTATGTTGAAGCTAAGAACCAAATGAGGATAGGGCCAGTGGTTCAAGGTGATGGATTGATTCAGAAGTACTTCATGAATTTGGAACGATTATAGGTAGATTTTGATCAATTCTCACCGATGTCGAGCTGTGATGATCCGAGGTGCATGAAGGAGAAGATCTTTACACAGATGAAAACTATGCAATTTCTGGCTCAATTGATCCCAGCCTTTGATCAGAGATCGGTCCTTCTAGCCTAGGCAAAAATTCCTTCGATGTATGAGGCTACACTCTAAGACGAGTGAACTTCCAGGCACATGATCAACTTTGACTGCCTTGAGCCCAAGTATGACAAGTGCCTAGGGGGAGGCTCGTAGGTGCTAAAACTGTGGAGAAGTGGGACACCTGAACAAAGCTTGTCTAAAGCCACCCAAGAAGAGAGAGGGTGCGTGTAAACTGCCTAGAGGTCGTAGTCGTAATTGTGGGGGCCAAAGCGGTGGAAGAGAGGGCCAGAAGAAAAATATGTTAGCGGAGAATGAGGGAAAGGCGGGTGGACTTTACCGATGAATATCATGCGCTCCTGGAGATGTTGAAGAGGAAGCAGAGAGTAGCAGGTGATGTGACTAGGGATACATCCACGTTATCGTCATCCAAGGGGAATACTGCTACTTATGCTCATTCATCCAAAGGTACTTTTAATATAAATCCTCATGCTTCTATATCCACCACAAGATCACTAGAATGTATAGTAGATTTTGATGCATCTCGATATGTGACAGATGCTTCTAATGAGTTCTCATCATATACTCACCAAGCAGTTCCAGAAAGCATTCAGACTAGTGATGGTACAACACAATCTGTGGTTAGTAATAGTATAGTGAGGTGTACCAATTCTATGACTATATCTAATGTTTTGCATGTTCATTCCTTTACAATGAATCTCTTATCCATTAGTGTCATTATACTACAACTAAAATATGTTGTTTCATTTGATATTCTTAAGATTATCTTTCAAAAGAATGGGACTGGCCTGAGACTTGGAATTGACATGTGGCATAGTGAACTCTAGTACTTGGATAGAAATGAGATAGACTCAGCATTGACATCCATGGTAAAGTATTTGAGTAAGAGGGTCTGGGAGAAGTGCAGAGGATGTGTTGGTGCTACATCACAAACACATGGGACACTCTTTGTGTAGTTTACTGAGTCGTTTGTATCTGTCTTTGTATGAAAAGACAAATAAATAAAAATTTGTATGTGATGCTTGTGAGTTTGGTAAGCATACGGAAAGAACCTATGTTAGTCATGGCAATATAAGTTCTTGTATTCCTGATTTGGTGCTCTTGAATATATGGGGACCTTGTTCTACAACTATGATGAATGACTACAAATATTTTATGACTTTCATTGATTGGTTTTCGTGTGTTAATAATATCAGATGAGAAACAAAAGTGATGTGCTTGCCTTCTTTAAAAACTTTCACAGGGCGATTCAGACTCAATATGATGCAACAGTGAATGTATTGAGATCTGATAATGGGACAGACTACACCAACAAGATGTTTGGGGAGTACCTGTTAACCCAAAGGATACAACATCAAACAACATGTTCATGCGCATTGACACAAAACAGAGTAGCAAAGAGAAAGAATAGACACTATCTAGAGGTACCCCGAAGCATGATGATCTCTATGAATGTCCCAAAGCACTAGTAGGGGAAAGCTATTTTAACTGCCGCTCAATTGATCAACAGAATGTCATCAAGGGCATTGAAGTGGCAATCTTCTTGTGAGTTGTTGAAAGAAGATAAGGGTGGGGTTCTCCCATTAAAAGTATTTGGTTGTGTATGTTTGTAAAACATAATAAACCATCAATAAGAGAACTGGATCCCAAATCTATGAAGTGTGTTTTAGTGGTTTATTCTGCCACTCAGAAGAGTTTGTTTGCTGGAGTCTGAGTATGGATAAGAATTTTCGAGAATTTGAATCGTACTACACCTTGACAGTGACCTCACCATTTGGTGACTTGCCAGATACTTGAGGTATGAGGCAAGAGGGGGAGAGTGGTGATGGTGAAAGATTAGAACTTGTGGGAACGATGTATTGTCCTGTTGTGTGAGAAGTATAGACTGAGGAAGAGCCGAAAACTGAGGAATATGAATTCAAATGTGGTGAAATTCAAGCTCAAGTGGAGCTGAGGGTCTATACAAGGAGGAGGAGGCAAAATGAGAGAACAGTGCCCATCGTGTCACTTGTGCCAACAAGTCCCTTGTCCCGATCCACCCGACTCCTGAGACACCTACGCCATCCACCTCAAAATTTGATGATGTAAATGATATGATTCCTCTTCCTTCTCCTCTCACTCCCATGGCTTTAAGGAGGACGTCTTCATCCTGATTGTTATTCTCCTAATCGTATTGTTTCTCACATGACATTGCCCAGTTTGTCATACTCTAACAAATTATCCTTACACGGAGCACTCATTACATAACACTGGCTCTATACATAAGTGTTGATAGATAGCTAACGAGGATCCAAAGTGGAAGGTTATGATGTTGGAGGAACTTGGTACTTTTGATAAGAACAAGTCATGGGTCATTACATGCATGATCCACGGAAGGGTCACAAGGATGAAGTGGATCGGATTTTGAGGTACTTGAAGAGTGCACCAGAGAAGAGGTTGATCTTCAGAAAAAATATGCATTTAGGCATTGAGGGCTACAGTGATCTGATTGGGCTAGTTGTGCTAAGCTGAGTAGGTCCACATCAAGATACTGCATGTTCGTAAGGGGCAATTTGGTCTCTTGAAAGACCAAGAAACAGTCGATAGTAGCAAAGTGAGCACAAGGCCTTGGCCTTGCAAGTTGCCGATATGTTATGGCTAAGAGTTCTATTGGTAGAGCTCAAGGCGGACCAAGGAGCTCAAAAGAAGTTGTGGTGCTACTAGAAGTCAGCAATCAGCATTGTCGACTACCCAGTGCAGCATGACAAAACCAAACATGTGAAGGTTCATAGGTTCTTCATCAAAGAGAAGTTGAATAGTGGATTACTATATATAAGTCAGGTAGCTACTAGAGAGCAAGTAGCTGAGTGCCTCACCAAGGAACTTAGCTCATCTAGGTTGTGTGACAAGATGGGCTTAGTGGATATCTTTTGCTCATCTTGAGGGAGAGTATTGAGAATTGTATATAGTTTAAGATCATATTTTTAAATAGGAAATATAGAATAAATCTAGGGATTTATTTGTAAAGAATACTGTAAGGCTCTATATAAACTCAAGCCTTTAATGAATAGCTAAGGTTTTTTGAACAATTATTTATATTTTATTCAAGTATAATGCACTGCAAAAGATGATCTTTAAGTTCAACAGCTGGTTCGGAAGTTCTGAAATTTGCAGAATGACCTTCAAGTTCAGCTGTATGCAAAAGGATGATCAAATGACCACAGTTAATAATAAGATCTCCAAATTATAAGCCCTTGGTGGTCAAGAATAAATTTTTATCTCACTACGGTCATTTTTAGTTTTAAGAAATTTGAGTTAACATTTAGTATAACAGAACTTGTTAAATTTATGTTACGTACAAGCTTTAGGATCTACCACCAAAACTAAGGAGCAAGTTGATTGCTCTCAATTAATCACATCAAACTTCGTACGAGTAATTAGTAAAGCTGAGATCCATCCCTCGCTTCCAAAACTACTAAAACTTCATAGTCAAAATGTTGATAGCATCATAACAAATGTGTGTAAATATGAAATTATAGTTGTAAGATATGTAGATACATAAGAATTGTGTGCTATGCATGTAATTGTCCCAATATGTATTTATAACAAGCAGCTCCATGTTAGAGTGTGACCAGAAACTTACATGGCCATTGAAGACAATGTCAACACCATATGAGTATAGTAGTTCTTCCATTTCCACCCTCATGCACTCCACCTCCCTATAATGTGCTTTATACGTACTATACCACGGAGCATGCCACGTGGCAATCAACCAAGGAGTAACTCTTCTATCTACAGAAGACAATTCCCTTTGCAGCCACGCATACTGCTCTCCTGTCATGAAATACATAATATTTAGTAATGCTAAACATAAGTGCCAAAATAGTCCCGTGACAATTTACATGCGGTCATTTTAAACCGAGTCTATAGTGTCAAATTAGTCTCCATACTATTTAAATTGGGGCTACAAAGTGGACTATTTCAGCCCAAATATTAAAAAGTCTAACTAAATTACACTTTTACAGACTCTAGCACAAAAATAAATCACTGCAAAAAATCAGGGGACTATTTTGACACTTCTCACCTAAAGATTATTAGAAAAGTGAATGTATGCTTGGATACTGGGAGAGTTGGAAAAGTCGAGGAAAAGGAAAGTGAGGGAAAAGGAGATTAAGGAAAAAGAATGTCGATGGATTAAAACATTCGTTATGACTCCAAATGCAACATAATTTAGCCATCAACCTTTTGATCCAAATTCAAAGAGATGTTGAGGTTCTGAAATCATCACGACAAGATTATGACATTGCACGAGCATGTTCGTTGAGGCAAAACACTATTGATAAATGCCAAATTACCATCATAAAACAATATACGTAAAAAAAACTAACAAGTTTTTAATGTAAAAAGGATGAAAAAAAATCAAGATAATCAAAATCAGCATTGAATGTCTCTATGATAACTTCGATATGTGTAACAGCACTCCATAAGCACCATAGATAGAACAAGTGCTCTAATATAAAATATCATTCAACATATTTACAAGGAAAATAAAAGAACCACGAACATAAGCACGCCTGACTTATTGTAGGAAATGAAAAATGCTAGCAACTTGAGCTTACCCGACTTATTGTAGGAAACGTATGCACCAAGCATGACAAAATGTATTCCTCCAGCTTTAAAGGAGTAGTAAAACGTGGATTCTGAACCACTTTCTTTAGTGGGGAATGCAAATCTTGAACTATATGCTTCAAAAGTCTTGCCATCCAGCTGTTCTTCCTCCTCATGGTTTCCTTCTACCACCATTATTGGAATTTCTGACACTATAGGCTCCATGAACCTGAAAGAGATTTCTCTATTATACTTCTAATCGAGAAACAAATTTCATAGAAGGTAATAAGCAGAATTAGACACAGCAAAATTCCAGAAACATCACAGCAGCAGTAAGTTCCTTGTTGTGAGGACTAGCTTGGACGGCTTAGGTTGCCTCCATGTGACCTAGAAACACCCAAGGAAAATGCCTCCTCTGCAATGCAAAGGCAACGGTCCATATATCAACCAAATCCAATCCCCCTAGTAATTGGAGTCTCGTTCAATGGGTGCACCCATTTTGTATTATTTAAGAAGACAAATTAAAATGATAGCTAGGTTAGCATCAAATATGGAGTCAAACAAATATGCCTAAGCTACAAAAGTGAAGTGTTAAAAAGTGCCCCGACTTTTTACATGAGTTTATTTTAGGGTGCCCTTGGGGCGGTTGCTTTTTGAAGAAGCAGCTATGAAGTTGGATGCTTTTGGAATAACAGTCAGACTATTTTGATAATATGTTGCATTGACATGCCTAGAGATATAAATTCGATGAATAACTGCAGTTTTCAAAATAATTACAGCAAAATAATAAAAACAACTTCAACAGTACTGAAAATAAGCCAGGAGTCCAATTTCTCCAATAGATCAATATTAAGTCATCACTTTGCGCGTAATATTACAATAATAAAATACAAAAAACAAACATAATGTTATAATGACGTTCGTCTTCATGTCCAGACAATTAAGTCTTCGAGATAATTTTCTGATTATAATATCTCTTCTGACAGTCACTATCCGGAGTGAAGTTTTCTATATCATTAGCCCATCAAAAAAATCTACAATATTCACTTCATATTTATTGAACAACAATAAAATATCCTCCCATTAAATGTCATCTCTTCTTAATGTATTTTAAGAGCAGTGCATACCACAATGAAAAAATAAAACTCTTGAAGTACTTGATGATCTTGAACTCGTTTTTTTTGAGATTATAATACATTATAGTTTTAGTTAACAAATTAGATTACATATGCAGTAGAACACCAAAAAAGAAAAATATTATAGTTCATAATCAGAAAAAAAAAAAACACATAAGAAAAATTATGCATCTCTAAAGTTATAACCTTGAAAATTAAAATATCAAAATATGAAAGAGAAAATAGACATCAATCAATCCTTAATACATTTGAAATATTAAACAACAACTAGAAGACACTACCAAATATTAATTAAATATACTCGATGAGTTCACTAAAGCATATGTAATTTATTCTCTTACATGGATCACCTCTTGAACACTTATTTCATCTGGTGCATTGAAGTCATTCACTCTAAGGACTTCCTCGAGCAATGATTGTCCTACCTGATGTTCGATTGTTTCTACAGGTATGCATGTTAGATCTTCATCTAAAACCCTGAAATCAACATCGCCCCAAGATGGATGCCTCCGCATAAAATTATGTAAAGTTGTCGTCGCAGCAACTATCTTTTTCTGCTTTTTGAAGGAATAAGTCGGCATATCTCGGAGCATAATCACTTCTACTTCCATATGTCGAATGCTCTATCGATCCGTAATAATGAGTGTATTTTGTTGAACAATTCATTCATTCCTCTAATCACATGGTTGTTGCGCTCAAAATTAAGAATGCGGTACCTGTAATAGGGAAGGGCTTTAAAAAACCTCGTTGCATAGGATATCCTGAATCTACGAGGTAATATTTTTCTGGCTACTAACTTTGTTAGTAAATCTCTTAAAATTTAACACATCATATACGGTCATAAATATACTAAACAGATTGAGGCATCAAAAATTTGTATTAACATTATCGAGTAAAAAATTTAAACATGAGACTATCATAGGCATCCCTTCCCATCCAGTCATTATGAACGTAAAAACACATGTTAAAGTCACGAACTGCTAAGATATTGTGTTGCAGGTGCATAATATCCGATATATGCAATATTGTTAATGTTGCAAAACGTGCATCAACATGTATGTCATCAATTGTTCTTATATAATCCAATTTAAACTAATAATTAGAATTTTTTTTTATAAAATATGTATGCAAACTAAATAGATAAATCAATACTTTGAAGAACGGTATAAATCTTGTATCATTATGAATTTCTCTTAGTGTATGCACAAAAGCAATATCGTTTATTAGAAGCTAATGAAACTAATATTAGGATAGAATCTTGGAATATAGGTACTCTCAATGGTAAATTAATGGAATTAGTTGATATTATGATTCACAGGAAAATTAATATCTTATGTATTCAAGAAACTAAGTGGGTTAGAGAAAAGGCAAAGGAGATTGATAATTTAGGTTTTAAACATTGGTATTCTGGTAAGAGTCGCACTAGAAATAGTGTAGGTGTAATAATAGATAAGAGTTTGAAAGATAATGTTGTAAGAATTAATAGAGTTGGAGATAGAATTATAGCACTTAAAATTATCATTGATACTAAGATTTTTAATATTATAAGTGCTTATGCTCCTCAAATAGATTTAGATACAGAGTCTAAAAATAAATTTTGGAATGACTTAGAAATGATACCTCTTGAAGAAAGAATTTTTATTGGAGGAGATTTAAATGAACATGTCGGTAGAGTGGTAGAAGATTTTAGAAATATTCATGGTGACTACGGTTTTGGAGTAACTAATGAAGATGGTAGAGCTATTTTAGATTTTGCTTTAGCGTATGATTTTGTTATTACTAATACTTTATTCAAGAAAAGAGATGAACATCTTATTACTTATAAGAGTGGATCTAATAAAGCACAAATTGATTATTTTCTTATGAGAAGAAGAGATCGTCGCGATTGTAAAGATTGTAAGGTCATTCCAAGTGAAAATTTAAGTACCCAAAATCGTTTATTAGTTTTAGATTTTAAGATTAAGAGTTGTAAAATAAAAAATACTAGGACTCATCACCGTAGAATTAGATGGAGAAACTTAAAAGACACAAATAAAATTATTTTTATGAGTAAAATTCAAGATTTCAAAATTTGGGATATT